GGATCTAACATTAAATCTGGGGCAGTCACACAGGAAACAATCCCACTCCCTGTGATAATATCTCCTTCTGGTCACAAGGAACTATTATGCCTGGATGTCATCGCATCACCACTATTTCCAGTCATCTTGGGGATCCCATGGTTACAGGGGCCCATAACCCTGGGGTAAATTGGGTATCTGGTGAAGTGGACTTTAAATCGGCCTACTGCCATGAGCACTGCTTTCCTCAAGGTCCTGCTCCGTCCGGGCCTCTGTTGTGCATGGAAAGCGATACCAAAGCGGGCCAGATGGTTCTGGCAGCATACCATGACTTCCTAGACGTCTTCAGTAAACATGGTGCAGACAGCCTTCCACCTCAAAGGCCTTATGACTGCCCGATCGAACTGCTACCGGGAGCTGAGGTTCCTTTTGGATGGATCTTTCCACTGTCAGAGCATGAGTTGGAGGCATTAAAGGACTACATTGACAATAATCTCAAAAAGGGGTTCATCTGCCCCTCCACTCTTTGTTCTTTGTTGAAAAAAAAATCACTCCATCCGTCCATGTGTGGACTAACGGGAATGAAATAATATCACGGTGAAGAATAGATATCCCCTGCCACTAATCTCAGAACTCTTCCAGAGGCTCAGATTGGCGACCGTATTCACCAAACTAAACTTAAGAGGGGCCTACAATCTTGTAAGGATCAGAGAAGGGGATGAGTGGAAAACAGCCTTCTGTACCAGGTTTGGGCACTATGAATATTTAGTTATGCCCTTCGGACTGTGCAATGCTCCTGCAACCTTCCAGCATCTAGTGAATGACATCTTCAGGGATTTCTTAGTCTTATTCGTGATTGTGTATCTCGATGACATCCTGACCTTTTCTGCATACATTGAGCTTCACCGGGGTCATGTGCAGAAGGTCCTTGGTCGCCTCCAATTACATGGACTTTATGCTAAACCGGAGAAATGTGAGTTTGAATATCAGAGCATTTAGTTCCTGGGACCAATTATTCCACTGAAGGCTTCAAAATGGAACCCCAGAAAGTTTCTGCCATATTGGAATGGCCTGCACCATCTGATAAAAAAGGAGTACAGCGCTTCATAGGCTTCGCCAATTTTTACAGAATATTCATCAAGGGATTCTCAGCCATCATCACTCCTGTCACTCAACTAACCAAGCAGGGAGTCTGATTCCATTGGACACCAGAAGCTCAAGATGCTTTCCAATCATTAAAGATACTTTTTACATCAGCGCCCATATTAAGCCATCCAGATCCAGCACTACCCTTTGTGGTAGAAGTAGATGCCTCAGAAAGTGCTGTTGGGGCCATTCTATCGCAGCGGCAAGGTCTAAAACTTCTGCTTCACCCTGTTGCTTTCTTTTCCAGAAAACTATCCCTAGCGGAGAGAAACTATGATGTAGGAGACTGAGAATTACTGGCCATCAAGTCGGCCTTGGAGGAATGGAGGTACCTTTTGGAGGGAACAGCACATCCTATCCTGATCTACACTGATTGCAAGAATCTGGAGTACCTGAAGACTGCAAAACGTCTAAAACCCCAACAAACCAGGTAGGCACTCTTCTTTTCCAGATTCAGCTTCCACATCACCTATAGACCAGGCTCCAAGAATATCAAACCTTATGCCCTGTCTAGGATGTATACAGTGCTCTCAACAGGTAACTTCTGCCTCTTACAGCCAGACCTTTATTTACAGATCCAGCAGGCATCTCTTGGGGTACTATCCCCTCCAGGAATAACTTTGTCCTCTAGAGAAGGGCTTCTATGGTCAGGGAACAGAATCTTTGCACCAGAAACTACCCAAACATTTTAGGGCTGTGTCATGACCACCCGCTAAAAGGGCATTTCGGGTTCCACAAGACCTTAGACCTAGTACAGTGCCTGTTCTGGTGGCCTGAGTGGGAGAAGGATTGCAAGGCGTACGTAAATTCCTGTCCCACATGTATACGGAACAAGGGTGATAGAAGCAAGAACTGGGGATTATTTAGACCTCTACCAGTTCCTGATCGCCCTTGGAGGATGATATCAATGGATTTTATTGTAGAACTGCCACCATCTGAAGGATGTTCAGCTATCTTTGTTATAGTGGATCGGTTTTCCAAGATGGGACACCTTCTCTTCATGTCAGGCTCCCCAACCAGGTACATGACACATATACTTTAATCTCACCAAAACACTGGCTGCTTTAGGAAAACTATTTTCTAAATGCTGCAGCAGTATGTTCAGTATATTGTCTAGGGGTATGTGATGTTTTCTGTGTTTTGCCAAAATAACTGGCGATATAGCCTAGTATGCTTTTTTTTTTTTTCTTGGAATTTTATATTGGGCAGACTACTAAAACATAGACAAGGGATTTTTGGCTCTATTTTATGGACCATTTGTAAAGTTATAGAGGGCTGACAATAGCAAAAGGGTACCTAAAGAGAAAAAATATATGATCAAATACTGTGTATTTAGAAAAATATATTATAAAATCCCAAAACAAAAATGTATTATATTAAAGATTACTAATTATTAGATGTTGTGGCTGCATTCGTTACCCTTTTTTTCCCTTTATTTTCACCTGGTGATTTGGCCAGTAAGTCTGTTTTTTTTCAGTTTCCTATAAACAGACCTCGCTATCTGGCAAAAGTGTCAGTCAGAGGGTTGAGCCACACCATTTAACACTGACGGGGTGCTTATGATTGGCAGATTGTATTCATTTGTGTAAAACCTTTATCCCAAAAGGAAAAAAAAAACTTCTGTAACTGATTAAAAATGTTTGACGGAATTTGGCTTTAATTTGGTAGTCAAGTCCATCTAAGTCTGCTAATGCATCTAATACTATCCCACCCCAGACTGAAATAGCTGCTATCCAAAAATGCATAATGGAGTCACTCTAAAACAGGAACTGTAATACGGCAGGATTGTTAGGTGAAAATAAAGGATAAAAGCCCTTAAATAAAAGTACATAATGTGTTCATTACATGAATTAAATTGTCTTTGGTTTAATACTGCTTTACGTTTCAAAATAATATATAGGGTTCAATATGCATTTGATATCAACTCTGAGAATGTACTTCAGTATCTTAAGCTGAATTAGTATGAACTAATATGAACCATATTGAACCATGTTCATCAATCCAATTAATTGATCCCAGAATCTATTAAAACATATCAAGGAAAGAAAGAATATGACTTTTTTGTGGCTTTTGTTCACAGCATAGAAGATGCAACAAATGAAAACAACAACACATTTCCCAATGATTAAACATCTGCACTTTTTGGCAGCCACAATTGCATTCTTAGTAATTGGATTCATTCTTCTCCTATAGAAAACATAATACCAACTTTAACAAACTGATGTTTATAAATAAACTAGAAAGACACAAGGGAATCTACCAAAGCTATTATAATTTTTTTTTTAATTCACACTATATTTTTTTTTCAATGACAAGACATACTGTATTTAAAGGTATATTCTAGTATCAGTCCAAGAAACTTAAACTTGTTACATAAATTTGGTATTTCATCTCTTATCTCATCCTCCTTTTTTAAAGCAGAACATCACCCTAAACGGGAAGTTCCACTTTATGCCTTCCTCTCCCCCACCTTATTTGGCACATTACATTTTTGGGGGAGACCTAGTACCTAGTTTTGATAGGTACCTCATCCCACTTTCCCTCAGATCTCCTAGGTGACCCTAGTGGAAGTTCAGCCTCCTCTCTTTGCCCGCAGCCTTTTAAATCACAGAACTAAGTAGGCAGCCGGATCATTGACAAAATCCAGCTATTAAGCCACAAGGAGTCACAGCCGACTTCCCACAGTAAACATGCTGGAGCTGGAGATGTGAAGACCGGCGAAGAACCGGGCCAGATGAGGACAGCGCTGGATCCCCGTACAGGTAATAAAAAGTCAGCAGCTACAGTGTTTTGTAGCTGCTTATTATTTATTTAACTACTTGCTTTCACTACTTGCTGACGCTTCTCACATAAATGTATAAATCAGCTTTTTTTTTGTTAGAAAATGACTTAGAACCCCCAAACATTAAATATTTTCTGTAGGCCCTAGAGAATAAAATGGTGGGTGTTGTAATTTTTTATGTCACACGGTATTTGCCCAGTGGTTTTTCAAACACAATATTTTTGGAAAAAATACACTTTAATGAATTTTAATGCACACAAACACTAAATAATACCAAATTGTTTGGTAAAAAATATGAAACACGATGTTATGCTGAGTAAATAGATACCTAATATGTTACGCTTTAAAATTGAACAAGCTCATGGAATGGTGACAAACCACAGTAGTTAAAAATCTCCATAGGTGCTTGTGAGGTCTGGTACTAGAATCATTGCTCTTGCTATAACGTTTGCTGCAATATCTCACATGTGTGGCCTGTTTACATTAGACCAAAACCTAGAAGTGCCAAAATACTTGTCACTTCAGGTTTCTTAGACCATAGAGATCATCAGTTCTCAGTCATCTCTATAGAAAGCAAGCGGAACAGACGGCTTTAGTTAACTGACAATTGAGCAGTCATGTAATCCTGTACATAAATTAAATTTATATATTTTTTTCCCACAAATAGAGCTTTCTTTTGGTAGTATGTGATCACCTGTGCTTTTTTTTTTTTTGCGATATAAACAAAAAAAGACTGACAATTTAAAAAAAAAAACATATCCAGCAAAAAAATTTTAAAAAATCAAATTCTGACATAATTTTAGACCAAAATGTATTCTGCTACATGTCTTTGCTAAAAAAAAAAAATCCCAATACATGTAAATGAATTGGTTTATGTGAAAGTTATAGCTTTTACAAATGGCGGTATATATCCTGGAATTTTTCTTTTTTTTATACTAGTAATGGTGATAAGCGACTTATAGGGGGACTGTGGTGGGCATTCTGACACTGGGTGGGAACTAACTAACTGCCACTGACATCCCAATGACACTAATTCAGTGATCAGTGCTAATAAAAAGCACTGACACTATACTAATGACACTGGGCAGGAAGATGTTAACATCTGGGGTGATCAAAGGGTTAACTGTGTGCTGTTTTATAAAATGTGCTGTGTGTGTTTTACTAGGAAAACATGCTGCCAGGGGCGGACTGACAACTCATGGGGCCCCCGGGCAATAAGGGATCATGGGGCCCCTGTGTCCTTGCCCAAACTCAAAAAAGCCTATGAAAAAGGTACCAGGGGCATCTCATGGGGCCCCCTACTAGCAGTGCCCAAGTTTCCAAATGGTCAGTCCACCCCTGCATGCTGCTGTGTGTTTCTCAACTGTGCAGAGAAATACACAGCAGCATGTTTTTACTAATCCAACACAGCAAAACACTTTTCTCCTGCGCTGAGAATGGACTCGGTGGAACCAGTAAGGATGTTCTGAAATATGCACTGCTTGCTGTCCTCAACAGACCGGGGTGGTCCAACTTCACTGAATTCAAATAGAAAAACAAAAATGGGCGCACCGACCTAGTGCATTATCGTTTAAAATATTTATTCATTTATTGAAAGAACTCGGTAAGTATTATACTCACAATGAACATAAAAACACAAGCATATCACACCGAACAGGATGATAAATCCAAGCAGCATCTGAGTCCATACGATGGAACCCTGGATGACCAACTGGCTAACACGTTTCGAGGCCACATCCTCTTCCTCAGAGCCTTTATCATCCTGTTCGGTGTGATATGCTTGTGTTTTTATGTTCATTGCCAGTCTAATACATACCTTGTTCTTTCAATAAATATTTTAAACGATAATGCACTAGGTCGGTGCGCCCCTTTTTGTTTTTTTATTTGCATGTTTTTGCTGGCAGGAGAGAGACCTGTGTTGTTTACACTTGTCTCTCCCCTGTCACTGTTACTTGGCGATTGCCGGGTGCCAGCGGGGAATCTCTGGCTGGGACCCAATGATTGACATCTGTAGCCATCAATAGCGGTGCGGGCAGGGCGGCGGATGAGTCCGTGCGTGCACGCCCCCTACTCGGAAATGCAAATCACACATATATATATATATATATATATATATATATATATATATATGTGTGATTTTGCACAGCCATGCTACCCTGTAGCAGTAGTTCTGCTATAGGGTGGTAGGGGGCGGTTAATTGTCATTTTAAAAACTTTGTGTGTCACCTTGTGTGTCTGTACCAAGGCAGGGCCATTTGGGTGATTTCTGTTATTTTGATTTACAAAGGAGCCAAACAACTATGTGATAATAAATGACTTCATGTCAAAAAAAAACCTGTCCTTTATTTAAGGATAGTGATCATTTGATCAGTCATATTTTCAATATAAATGCCAAAATGTCACGATTTCTGCCAGGATATGCAAATGTTTTAGCATATCTGTATGCCGAGAAATGTTAACTGTATGAGAACACTAACAATTAACTTTGTTGCTTAAATGTGAAATGAAACAGACAGAAATGACTAGATCTTGAATGCCAAACTGCTTTGTGGCTGATAGTAAAAGGGGTGTCTAAAAGTTCTTGTAATATCACAAAAGCTTCTGTGGGCTGCTCAGTGTCACTACTCCCATTTTAATAAAATTTCATTTCAGAGTAATGTGTAAATATCATTGGCCCTTGACAATGACCACTCATAAACGTTATTCTTCTGTAGTGCTTTGCAATATATGCACAGCTGCTGGGCTGTATACCTAGATACCAAGATACAAGGTAAAGAACAAAAATGTAAACCTCACATAGAATGAGCTATTCAAAACTTGACGAGCTGCCCCTTTCATATACAGGAACAGCAGAGTACTCTAAAGTATTTGCTAAGTTTGACATTCTTCTTTATTGAGAAAAAACCCATACAAATGTTATGCATTTAGGACAGGGAAATGCATTAGGCTGGCTTTGCACTACAAAACATGAAATTTGTTAGGTTTTAACAAAGAGTACGTTAGCTTCCAGCAGGCAAATTATGGAATATCAGTATGCAAGATGGGTAAAATCATTTTGGCAATTGTGATACTGTGTTCTACCCAATATACTGTTGAACTGTGCAATACAAAGTACATGTGTGGAGCACAAATACTGATATTTATTAACTGAGCATTGTGAATTAACATATGTGCAACTGACTCTACTTTTTCACACAAATATGTATACTGTAATACTCAGGGTTCTTATTATTGGGTTCTTAATAATTTAAAAGGTCAAACATAAAATCATGTGGCTGCAACTAAAATATAAAGTATGCAGGCACAGTAAAGATGTTTTTGTTCAAACAGAATGACGAAGATGAGTGATCTAAGCATCTTTGATCATGAAATGACTGTTGGTGCCAGACATGGTGGCTGCAACATCTCAGGAATTGCTGACCTCACCCACTACAGTCTACAGAGTTTAAAAAAAATTACACAAAAAGCAAAAAACATTCTCTGTGTGGCAGTTCTGTGGGTAAAAACACCTTGTTAATGGTCAAGGTCAGAGGTTAATACAAACATACAAAAAGTCCACAACTCCTCAAAAAAACCCTTTTTAGAACAGTGGTATGCAGAAAGGCATCTCTAAACATACAAAATAAAATAAATCAGCTACATTATCAAATGTAAAATGAGGATACATTGAACATAGAATCTCAAAATTGGGAAACTGAAGACTAAATAACATTTGGACTGATGAAACTTGATTTCTACTTCAACATGTATCAATCCATTTTCGTCTAGTCTCTGTGGTCAAGCCTGGCAACAAAATGTTGTGGAGAAGACTTCTTAATGGCGAAACGGCTTTTTTCAGCTACGGTTTACCTGATTATTGTTGCTAGCTAGTGATGACTGATTCATAATTTATCCATATTTTCTAATCTAAAGAAAAATATTAATTTCAGGAATACAGACATATTTGTTTACGTAACTCTATAATTGCCCATAACATGGGACAAATCTATATTCCTATACAGCAGTTAAAACTCAATTTGTGGATTCATGAATTAGCCTGGTGTGCAAATTGATTTGGCCCTAGTCTTTGGCCACAGACTGACCACTAATCACAATAATGCACCATATTAAGACTCACTGCTAGTGTTTAGTGATGAGCCAAATGAACTGGAGTTCAGCTCAGGGGACATTTGCTGAACTGCCCCAACTTTTAATGTTAATCTGAGCCCCACTGAAGTCAATGGGAGCTGAATTTTTAAAATTAATTCTGCTATTTTTTAAGTCAATAGGCAAGGAATTATCAGACAAAAGCATGGAACGCTGGCCACTGCCCTGGAGGACATGTACCAATGCCAAATAATTTAACAAAAATGAAATTTAGCTTAACAAATGCTTAAAGTGAAACATAATAATAACAACATATCTGGGGGGGGGGTTGCCTTATTATTATTTATTTATTATAGGTACTTATATAGTGTTGTCAATTTACACAGTGCTTTACATATATATATTGTACATTCATATCAGTCACTAACCCTCAAGGGGGTGTACAATCTAAGGTACCTAACTTACATTCATATATACACATACTAGGGACAATTTAAACAGGATCAAATTAACCTACCAGCATGTCTTTGGAGTGGAGTGTGGGAGGAAACGGGAGTACCCGGAGGAAACTCAAGCAGGCACAGGGAGAATATGCAAATTCCAGGCAGGAGGTGCTGTGGCTGGGATTCAAACCAACAACCCAAGTACTGCCAGGCGGAAGTGCTAACCATTTAGCCACTGTACTGCCCATTTACACTTGTCTGTGAAGAAGTGGAATGTCTGTAGGATGTACTACAGCAAAAGTGACATTTACAAAAAAACAAACAAAATCCACCAAATCAGAAAATGTTATGGGGAGCTGGGCATTGTTCTGGGGAACATGTAACAGCAACAAAAAAAAATTAACCTACCTGTGAAATGGCTCATCTCTATGATGTATACAATCTACTGCAGCAATAGTTTACAAAGTAAAATAAGTTTCCTCTAAATTACATTTCCCAGTGGCTTCGTTTTGTTTGTAAACAATGCTACTGGGTATTTTCTTCATCTGTACCACCCCCCCCCCCAAAAAAAAATCCATACTAGACCTTTATCTGAGCTGGTATCTTGGCAGGTCAAGAAGGGGGGCAGTGAATGGGAACCACCCCGCCTGATTTATATCAGTTCACATGACCTCCACATACGGCGGGTACCTTGCCAAGGATGTGGAAGTGTATCTCTGGAAAAGAACTTTGTCCCCATGTTCATGGAGACAAGAGTCTCATCCCCACATTCCTTGCCTGGTGGATATGGGAGTCTTTAGGAGAAGACTTATCAGAATATGGAAGCACCTTTAAGAAAAGGGGATCCCCAGATATACACCCTCTCCTGTACGTGAATGAATAGTACATAATACCCCTTACTCATTCTCAAAAAATGACAATGTAAATAAATACACACACGTTTGACAAGTCCATTATTAACCCTTTTAATGCCACTTTCTGTTGGCTCTTAAAGTGAGCTTTAATGCCTCAGAGGAGACACGGCTTCTCTATCATGTGACTGCTGAGATTTCCTCTCACAGCCAGTGATTGAAAGATCATCTCTCTGGCTCACAATCAGAAGCCGTGACTATGCGCTCTCAGTGTCAGCTCAGTCAGTGTGCTGTGAAACATGCAGTGAGCATGCTCCCAGCATACCATCTCAGGCCAACATGCAGGCATATGTGTAGCAGCTGGGCATTAAAGCCCACTTTCTGTGCTGCTGCATATATGCCTTGCATGATCTGCAAGAGGTTAAAGAAAGTCCCACAGTGTAAATCCATCATCAGCCATGTAGTCAGGCAATGTAGATCCATCATTAATAACGGTAAATAGTGCCTTCCAACCAGAGGTGGACTGACAACTGATGGGGCCCCGGGAAACAAGAAATAATGGGGCCCCTGTGTCCTCGTCAACACTCAAACCTTACCCAAAAAAGCCTATGAAAGGTATCAGGGGCATCTCATGGGGCCCCCTACTGACCCCGGGCCCTCAGCCAGTGCCCAAGCACCCAAATGGTCATTCCGTCCCTGCTTCCGACCTACCAAAACAAGAACAATGTTAGGTCCCATCACACTCCTGGCTGTAACAGACAAATCCCCAAG